TGCACAAGTTTTTTATGCGCATCCTCATTGGCACTATCGAGTTTGTCGTGCATCATCAATTTAGAGCATCTATTTATTATTTTGTATAACAAACAAAAGTTTACAATATCGCCAAAATAAATTCTGAAACAAACATTAGATATTGATGCAAAATTTTAAAGTAAAAAAGTTTTTGCACAACTTTGGATTAGAACCTCCCCTGAACCGGAAACTTGGACGCCACCAATACCATGAGTAAACACGGGTAAACACAAAGTGGACTGAACAAACATAACACAAAGTACACATGCATACATAATTCAAGCTAAGCCTAAATATGTACGAGACAAATTGATCTTAGAGCAGAAGTCACAGAAGACACAATGGTCCAAACTAAGTCCATAACCAAGGCAAACGGACTCAAGCGACCCAGAAAACACTGGTGTTCTTCCCTAGGTGGGCGGTGACAACAACAGAGCGAAAAAAAATTATCATAAAGGCTCTTATACAATGCTGAATTTGAAAGATTCAAATACCTGACGGGTGAGAATAACAACCACCTGGCCGCTAGTTAGGCAGAAGTAAAAATGAAGAATCTAGGAATGAGAAAATATATATTGTATGAAAGGATCACAAATGGACAAATCAAATCCCTATAAATCTCCAAGCTGCCTAATATATATAGGTTCCATATTACTTGTACATTCCATAACAGTATGCAATAGGTAAACCCCACCTTGCGATCTTAGCCGACAAAGGCCACAAAGAGATAAATCAGTCTAGGTTACCTATAGCTGGTCCATTCAAACCAAGAAGATCAATAGGCTGCTCTCACTGAGAATCAAACTTGTAATACTGTAGTTATCGAACCAATAGCATTACCAACTTAGTTAAGGTTACCCCAAATTGAACCCTTTTTTTTTTTTTTTTTTCTTTTATTCTTTCCAAGACTAGTGGTCTTATGCCTCTATTGGCATAACGCACCTCTACTGATTTTACTATGTATAATTAGTAGACTTCCTCTAACGATATAAATGGATAAACTAACCCAACCAATATAACATAGTTGTTTACTCACCACAAATGAATAATAAAATCTTACCAATTTTAAAATAATATTTATAACTATACAATATTGAAAATATTATTTAAATTTCTGATAGTATGTTTAAAAAGTTGTTCAACCATTAGTATGGTATATGAATTAAAAAAAAAAAAAAATTGTGGATGGGAGATCCAGTTCTTAAAATTAACATGCGAAATGGCGATAATCAAGATCATGACTTGACTTTGTCATCATACGTGAGGGTGAAAGGAGCAGGACGAGAGTAACATATATACAACATCGAATTGCAAAATTACAAAACCAAATATCTTCGTTTGGTATGTAGCATTTGGTCATTGCTCCCCAGAAGGCAACCATGGGTCCACGACCTAGGTTTTTTTTTTTTTTTTTTTTTTTTTTTGAAAAAAAAAAAACAACTTTGTTACTCATCTTTAAAGAATCCAATGATCAACCATTTTCTTACACAGTAAATTAGACCACAACTATTAGTTAATTATCCTTAATTGCACTGCATGCTTCGTTAAACAATGCTGATCCCAAGGTGCCTTTCTTTGTGTTAAAGAATAAAGAAAATAAGGAATCGCCTTTAAAAATAACATTTTAATTTCTTACTGCCTCAATTTTAAAAAAAAATAAAAAGAAAAAGATTATGAGGTGTTTAGTAAATAGATGATATTCTAAATATCACTGCATATGATATTCTAATTGACTAATTGACTGAAAATAAAAAAAATAATTACCTGAAAATAAATCTGATATTACTAATTGACTGAAATTATAAAAGGAAATGAATATTAATAATTGAGTACAAATAAAAAATGATCCATAATTGAAATGAAAAATAAAGGCATAAGTGTCAAATAAGCCCATCTACTACTGCGAAGTGCTCAATTTCCACCACGAACTAAATTAAGTGTCGAATAAGTCTATCTACGAGTTAAATTTGTTCAATTAGCTTTTTTTATAGGTTAATAACAGGTTACCTATTTAATTATTAAAATAAATAAATAAAATAAAATAAAATAAAATAAAATACAGCCACCGGCTGTCCTCGCCGGACAGCCGGTGGCTGCCATTTCAAAGACAGCTGTGGTTGTCCGGCGAGGACAGCCGGTGGCTGTATTTTTTAAAAAAAAATTATTTTTTTAATAATTTTTATATTATTTTGAAATTATTTTTTTAATAACTAATTGGTAACCTGCAAAAACAAGTCAATTACCTGCAAAAAAAAGCTAATTGAATAAATTTAGTAGGTAAGTGTGGTTAATTAGCGTTTAATTTAGTTCATGGTGGAAATTGAGCACTTGACAATAGTACATGAGCCTATTTGACACTTCTCCCAAAAATAAATTAACAGATCATTGCATTTTAATTAAAAAATGGAACGAAAATTAAAAATTGGCTGAAAATGAATATGATATTACTAATTGACTGAAAATATAAAAGGATCACTAATTGACTAAAATTATACCATTATATATTTTCACCTGAGTCACCCATCCTTTTGGACTAAAGGTGTTAGCTCTAGACGAAGATAGACAAGATTGTGTTGTTACTACCACTGTTGTCTACAGGGAGGTTTCAATAGTATGTAAATACAATCTGTGATATTATGTTTTTTTAAAATGACAAAATTGTTATATATCTAGACAAAAAATATTTTTTCCATACAAATAAATTAGGATATCAATTCATTTTTATAACTGGGTTGCTAGAGAACGATCACATTTGACTAATTTATAAAAGTACTGAATAATGATAAATAAAATCTCCAAAGTTACAGCACCGCATGCGTACATCTACATATTAGCTATTAATTTGAGCAATTAATAACATAAAAACACATAAATGATCCAAACAATACCTTCAATTGCATTATATAATATTTGATGTTCTAATTTAAATAATTATATATCGATCTAAATATTTACAACAAATCCATTCCGTGCATCGCACAGGCGCAAATACTAGTTTAAAAAAATAAAAAGAAAAAGATTATGTGGTGTTTAGTAAATAGATGTTAGCTAATTGAGATAGTGAGTTTGACTAGTTGATAGCATTAGCTAATTGCAGTACGTGTTTGGTAAATTAGCTATTAGCTGATAGACATACAAAATGACTTTCTCAAAAAGCCAATCGAAAAAGTTACTTTGAGTAGCTTTTTCAATTTTAATATTTTAGAGCAATAAACTGTTACAAAAAATTAATTAATCAAACACTCATATTGATTTTTAACCTAATCAAACAAGTAAATAATGGTCAAACAAGCTAAAATTAATTAATAAGCTAACTATTTTATCGAGGACCTATCTCCATTCAGTTTTATTTTACACAACAAAAAAAAAAAGTATAATGTGTAATTGAATTAAACAATGGATTAGTGGGTTTTGACATTGATTAACATGCCATAAAGTCTTTATCTTTAAAGTGCATTATCTTAGAATTTTATATAAGAAACCGGCAATAATGTAGTCGCAGTGGTATAATGATTGTCTGTAATCAAGTTGTGTGTACCTAAGCAAATGTAAAATTTTTTTGAAATAAATGTAAAATTTAAATGTGAGCAGAGAACCAAACAATTCTTAAACCCCACATAGGATTCTCATATAGTACCAAACTCCATTATGCACATCTCTTTGTCCTTTAATTACCATTGGAAGCATTACGAGGTAGGGGGTGGGTTTACCAATGCTGGGGGTGGGGCCGTGTGAAATTAATACTACCTAATAAATACTCCTTAACAAGAAATATATCTTCATTTCAAAAGGTTGAAACCCTAACTCTAATAATCCCTTACATTTTAATCCGATAAAATATTTAAGATGAAGTAAATCTCAATAACTTAATAACTTAGTTAAAATGTGAAACTCATTTAAATTTGTTAAGATATTCAAAGTGGTGAGGCATATAAAAGAGGGCTTTTAGAAAGAATAAATAATAATTTTGAAATAAGAGTATGTAGTTGGTACTTGGTGGGCAAGAAAAGGTTTAAGTCTTGGGAGTGATATATATGGTCGGTCACCCACATCGAGTCAATCAATTTGAGAGGCATCCTTCTGTATCCTTTTGAGCATATATAATACGGAGTATATAAATATAAATGTGCAATATAATTATTAGTTCAGTCTTTTACTTAAATTAAATATATATTTTAATTTGGTATCAAAGTCAATTTTATATTAAAAGTTATGAATTAAATTTAGATGCTGTAGTTCACATATTGCTTGAAGTTCATAAAAAATAATATAAATTTGTAATCCAATTATTACAACATAAGCAAGTGTTGTGGTTTTGCAATCCTTCTCCTAGAAGATTGAATCCTCCCCAATCACCCCCACACACTTCGACTACACAGAGCATTTGGAAATCCTTCTCCTAGAAGGTTGAATCCTACCCACATTCCGGTTCTACAAAGCATTTAGGAGGATGTAAATCACGGTAACGCAATAACTCAGTAAATAGGGCCAAATGCATGTGTGCACAAAGATTCTGTTCAGTTTCAATATAATATCTACACTACCACTGTCGATGTCGAAATTCAAACCTTGATCTCTTCTCCTAAATACTATCTACTGAACCAATAAACTAAGCCCAAGTAGTGGTTTTGCAATCCAGTGCTGGTAAATGGTAATGGTATTACACGTGCGCATTCGTATTTAGGTGAAGAATGGATGGGAATGTGATATTCAATGGAAATATGGGGAGTTGAGTTGGTGAGGATGAAGACAAAAGGTCCAACAATTTCAACCCTTAATTATTGGAAATGACAACCAAAATTAATTTTGAGATTAACCATGCTCTCATAATTTCAAACTTAGCTTATTCATAAATGTTTATCAAATAAATCTAAATATATCGAAAACACAACAAAAATACACACAAAAAGGATTTGGAGTTACACTTAAACCACAGCCTCTTTTTTTTTTTTTTTTTTTTTTCAAATCCAAGAAAACAGAACAAAAACTCCAACGGAAAAGAGGCAACAGCAAACTGCAGAAATTGGGAAAAACTTTTTTTTTTTTTTTGTTAATTAAGGGAAAACAGCTTATAAGCTACACTAGCAGTAGTGCCTAAACTAAATATTTCATAGAATACAGTATTTGTATATTACAAGATTACCATCATCTTAATTCTCAACCTCTAAACTCTAAACTACCTACTTCTTCTTCTTCTTCTTCTTCTTCTTCTTCTTCTTCTTCTTCATCTTCTTGAGGCTTAATAGATTTAATTTGCTCTCTCCACATGGCGTATGAATACCGATTCGAGGTCAGGCGGAATAAAGAAGTCCCGGGCGCCGTTGTAATGACAGGTTGAGTTCGCCGGCCGGCGTTTTCTGGGAGCCGGCGGGCAAGGAAGCTTCTCCGGTATCCGTGAACCCCTGGCCGTCGGAGTCGTCGAGCATTCATTCTCCGACGACTCTTCACTCTCCTCTACTATGGGCGGCGGCGGCTTTGTTGATATGGGTTTCAGAGGAGCCCGGATAGCGATTCCGGCGATAACCCATTTCTTGCCCTCCGACTCCTTGCCTCCCTCCACTTGATGCTTCTTCGAAACCCCCATTTCTAAACTAACCCCCCTTGAATATACCAAGAGAAAAAGAAGAACAAACTTGGTGGCAATTAAAGGGTTTTCTGGTCTGATCTTTTGATGCAAGATGGTGTATGTTTGGTTGAAGGAATCAAGAAAAAAAATTGATTTTGGGGGAATAAACTAAAAGGCCGGAAATGCAAGAAAAGAAGGCTTTGAATGAGGGAAAGGGATGGGGGATGGCGGCAAAACAAGAGAGAGAGAGAGAGAGAGGAATGGCAAACCAAAAATATGAATGAGAGAGTTTAGGCTATGGGGTGGGTATAGATTATATTTGACAAAGATTCCTCAGGGGAGAAAAATATGGCTGCCCCTGCCCGTAATGCTAACGGGCAGTTTCGGGCAGCCGAAATTGGGTGGAAATTGTGGTTTTGGCGCCAGATTTTGGTCTTCGGTGAGCAACGGCTCTCCTTCCCGCCTAAATTATTTACCTTCCTATAATACCCCTGCTTTTTATGCTTAATTCCACCTGGTGACCCCATTATAATTTATAGGGATTATTGGATTAATTAATAGCGGCATGTCGCCCTGTATGACATCGTTTTGCTGAGCTCTACTTATTGTGGATTTGTGGTTGTGGTACATCTATAATCCATATCTCAATTATCACATAACTACTCATATTCTCACTTTAATGACAAATGAATTATGGTAATAAAAGTGAGTATTCAAAAAATTCTTTTGTACTCACATAGGTATGGGGGTGAATTGGGTGCGAGGACAGGTATTTTTGCACCTATATATATGTAATATTATATATTACATTCTATATATAATATTAACTATAATCTAAATAATATTTTTATAAAATGAATCTAATGTTTATAAATGTATGTTTTTATTTTTAAAATATAATAATAATGTATTAATAAAGTATGTTTGATATATTTATTGTACGTCTGGATTATAAAGTTAAATTAAAATTAAATTTGTAAAATTATATATATAATTTTAAAAAAATTATAAAAGTAGAGAAAAAATTTGGAGATTCTTTGCACCCACAAAATTCCAACGGGGTTCTATATGGAGATGTCTTTATTTTTCATGTGAGTGTAATTATTGTAGTGGAATAGATATTCTTTTGCTCTATTGTCATTCTTAATCTAAAGTTGATATTTAATAAAGTTACAGGTATTCATTTTGCTTATAGACTATAAAGTTATTGGCTTAAAATTATTTCTTATTTTCATTGTAACAATTCATTTTTTTTTAAGGATTGTAACAATTCATTATTGTTCACTAAAATGGACCTTTTTTATTTTAACTCAAGCAATAAAAATTATGTGAGTTAACAACTAATTACCGAACATCTTCCTACAATTAGCTAATGTAAATTAATTTTATTTAATAAATTAATACGCAATTAAAATAAGTTCCTATAATTATTTATTTTTGTATACTATAAAACATATAGTTTAAGAAATAAGTTAGAAGCTTTTCATATTTCTTACAAAAGCAAATAATTACTATCAATATTAAATTCTGGACAAAGCTAGCTAGTGCAGGTGGCTTATTTCGGGATTCTAGAGGGGCCTAGATCATGGGGTTTGTGGTTAACATTGGTTTCACATATAACTTCCATTTGGTAAGAAGAAGGGTTTTCGTAGGGTGGTGCATGGTTGAGCTTGATTCAGAAGTTGTGGTTAAGCTGATGAGTAAGAATTATGGCATTAGTGATTTTGTCATTATATTCATCTCTGATTGTAAATTCTTTGCTTCGGGATTTGAAGACATGATATTTAAGCATGTTCTTAAGGAAGGCAACAAATGTGCTGATTTCCTTGTTAATGGACAGACTAAGGGTGGTGGTACTACGATTTTAGAAGACCCCCGGACGAGTTGTTGGAGTTCCTTTTAGCCGATATTGGAAGAACCATATTAGAAGGTTAAATAATACCCACCTTATACAGGGCTGACTCACCAAAAAAAAAAAAAGAAGACTATCATTATTTAATTAAAACTCTCATCCTCCCCTTCCTTTTTCTCATTTTTGCATGAAGCTATCAAATTGTTTACTAGTTGATGTAATTTTATTTGAATAGTTTCAGCATAATAGAGTGGATTATTTACAAATTACAAAATATCAACTATGAAAAAATTATAACACCTGCTTTAACAGCATCAAATGATACAAATTTTAATAAATATACCAAATTTTCTTCATAAAATAAAGTCAAAATTGATGGCCCCGCCCCATTAATGTTAGCCAATCCAATCCAATCGCAAGGATTTATTAAAGTACACAATGAAATGTAGAGTGCAGAGACGTGAAAGAACGAACAGTTTGCGGTAATAAGATGAAGACAAATTAAAGCAGAGCAGCTAGCAAAGCCGCCGGATATAGTGGTGGGCCAATGGGCGGTGGGCAGCCGGGGCGCTGCCCAGTCCACCACAATTGCGGAGTGAGTAGTAAAGATTCTTGTGCCTGTGGTCAAATGCGTAGTCAGCACTGAGCAGGGCCCCTCAACGTCCAAGCCCATAAAGTAGATCGAAGAAGTCAGCATGGATAATTCAATTAGTTTTTTTTTTGAAAAATAGTTCAAGGGAAAATTATAAAAAATGCCTCTTTATAATATGTCAATTATCAATGTCACCCCTGAATTATGAATGGTGTAAATGTTACCTCTCAATTATCAAAATGGTGCACATATAGCCCCTCCTATAACGGTCATGTGGTTTCCCACCGCTGTCCATCGCTGATACTTCGAATCGATGGAGAAAAAAAACAACTAAATTACATATTTACCAAAAGTAGACTGAATTAGAAATCCAGGTAAACTATGACAGAACAAACCAATTTTAACTATATTAGAATGTTAAAACTCATCTAAAACGTGATGTATTACAAATGCAATAAATTTTTATAAAGTTTACATATAAAATATAAAAAGGGTAAGGAATTTATTAAGAAAATTGTAATTTATGTCCCTCAATTATAGGTTAGTTATAAATATGACACCTCAATTCCCTTATTATTAAATTACTCTTCAATTGTTTAAACTAGTACGTAAATCGCCCTATCTTCGAATGGAGCTATTAGATTGATTCTGTTGAAACTTAAAGTTTTTTAAGGGTATTTAGGTCATTTCCATTTTCACTAATTTTCTCTTTCTGTCTTTCTCTGTCACCCTTGCGGAGTTGCCCCTGCTAAAATGCCACTTTCTCATCTCGGACTGCCCCTTCCCGATTCCTACTCCGATATCCTCCCCGATATCCCCCCGTACTCCGATCTACTCTGAAGGATTTGGTGTTTCTAGACTATCCCATTTCCCCCATTTGCTTCAATTCCCCTCCGAGCTTGCGCCAAATTTTTGGTGTTTCTCGACTATCCCATTCGCTTTCCCTCCAAGCTTGCGCCAAATCTCCGTGCTTACCGAAATCTGGCTCAGCCCAAAGGCAGAGTTATGTTATTTCTAGTGAGTCAATGGACACTACTAAAGCACTTATATATATATAGGTCCATAATTAAGTGAGAACTATGCCCATTGACAAATTCAAATATAACCACAAATAAAATCAAAGTTTTTATTTTATTTTTTATTTAGTCCACAAACTCGTCTAGCATTACCTACATCCCTAACTGGAGCCATTTGTTGTAGAGCTGCTCCCCCATCATCATATGCGTTTCACTTCTTGGACTAATCCAATGGATGTGGATATATAGTCCAAAATGATGGGCACTGTTGAAACAAGTAAATTGGTGGTTATCATTGTTGTTAATAGATCTTGGCCTAGAAGACTCATCATAGAAAATGGCTGGAGTATAAGTATACTCTAGGAACAATATAATAGATCCTAAGATAAAGAATCTCGGCATCAATTTAATAGTTGATTGTGTTGGAGGGGATGACTGTATTTGATATTTTGGTAAGACTAACAAAGTACACAATGAAAGGTTCAAAGATCAAATTTTGATTGATAAAAGTGAATAAAATACATTATAGTGCAATGCTAATTATAAATGTAGAGGAAAAAGTGTCAAATTGGCCCCCTAAGTGCAATTGAGTCTCCTAAGTAAAAAACAAGCTTCATTCAAGTCCTTTAAACCGGTAAAAGCTTCATTCAAGCTTCATTGGTTGGTGGGTTTTGCCCATAGGAATGGGTATGAAAGTAATTGTTGTTGTTTGGTTGATAGGTTTTTAGAACACTACTATGAGTTTCGAATACCCCATCAATTGAAAAACTCATATCCAAATAAAATAAGGGTTCCATTCCCTTATTTATTCTCAAGCACTACTATTGATCAAAATCATTGTTCGGCCGTGAAGATACGAAAAGAAGGAGCGAAGAGTAGTGTGGACTAGACGGAGGGGACTGTGGTGACCAAGGTCGTCTTCCTTCATCGGCCATGGCCGTCTTCCTTAGATGACTGTGGCCATTCTGCTGGACAGCCACAGATGTCTATGAAGAAGACAGCCACAGACTGTCCAGCTCGGACAACCTGTGACTGTTTTTTTTTTTTTTTAATTATTATTATTATTTTAATTAATTTATAATAAATAAAAAATATTTGTCTTAAAAAATAAAATAAGAATGACACGTGTCAACACAAGTATCGATTTAACTTTATAAACAAGTTAAATTTGACTTAATTGAATAATTTTACCAGTTTAGGGGACTTGAATGAAGTTTTTTAAACTAAGAGGATCCAATTGCAATATCCGCTTGACTTATGGAGCCAATTTGACAATTTTTCCTAAATGTAGATTATACTAATTAAAATCGCATACTTTGTTATCTAAACATGTAAAATAAAATTATTAAAATGCAAACTAGAACTCTAAACGTGTGTAATTCAAATGCTAAAAATGTACAATATGATATTCAAAAGTGCATAATTCAAATTGCAAAAGTGTACAATACTAACGCTAAAAGGTAATTAAAGTTTGGCTTATTGGCTTGCTCAATAAGCTAAAATAAGTGTTTGGTAAATGATTGTTTGTCTTAGCTGATCAACACCAATTAGTTAAATTTTGAAAGGCAACTCCAATAAAAGTTTGTAATCAATTTATTGAATTTAGAATTTTAAAAAACTAATATAACGCTTATCTCTAATTTCTCACAAAAAATTTTCTAATTTTCACATTATTCCTCAAAGATCAATAGTTTTTTTATTTTTTTTAAATACTCATGATCATGGTTGCAAAAATCGCGCCTAGGCGCTAGGCACTCGGCCGCTGCCGCGAAGAAGGCCGGAGTCGGCCTCCTTCGTGGCCGGCCGGCTAGGCGGCCGCCTAGACCGCCTAGCTGGCTGAACCGGCGGTT